ACAGTTTTCTCCATTCCATGGGCTTCAGTTCCCTTCCCATGCAAAAAGGATTCTAAGGGAGCTTTTGGACCTTCTGTGAGGCGATCAGAAATTCTTTATTAAGAATTCATTATGTGAATGCCATACCCATTCGGAAACTGGCACTGCTTACATTAGGACCCACAGTTTTCTCCATTCCATGGGGTTCAATGGCCTTCCCATGCAAAAAGGATTGTAAGGGAGTTTTTGGACCTTCTGTGAGGGGATCAGAAAATCTTTATTAAGAATACATTATGTGAATGCCATACCCATTCGGAAACTGGCAAGATCCTGTTTACATTCAGAGACAGAAATATTTGGTGTGCCTCTGCACCAAATAGAGAAGAATAAAAATAGAAAAACAGGCTGATTATATTTTATGAGGAGAAACCTATTTAAGCTTGCAAACCAAAGGCTTCTGGAAATAGGAGCATTAACATCAGTTTTGCTATTCTTCACTTTTGCAAGACATTTATCCAACAAGCAGGCATATGCCAATCCCTAATGCAATGAGTTCATTTAAAATACTTCTGCAACAATTGTAATTCGTAGGTGTTCAGAGTAACTTTTACAAGTTTTGCTACTGAGTTACTGATTTGCTACAACAAGCCAGGATCACACGATAGATCTCCCGTCCCCATTGCATAGGGTAGTAGATCTGTTGTTGGCCCTCAGAATGAGAGTTTGTTCACAACAATGTTTAACAAATGTAATGAAACAGCCATTGTGTGACACTCCTAGTTCCCCTGTCATTACAACCAGAAAATTTTGACAGACATCTAAAACTGAAAACTGATAGGTAGATAGTAATGTTTAAGCTTACTTTCAGCTGCACCAAATGCACATCCACATGCTTGCTGTCCGAGTCCTGCTGAACTGAGTATGTTAGATCTCTGACTCTTTCTGATGTCAACCGTAGCCATGTTTCAATCTCAGGCAAGTGGAGGACGATCTTCCAGTCAGCTCCCGTATGGAGAGGGGGAGGCTTTTCATATTGCTGACTAGAATCAAGATCTTTCATTGTATCTTCACCACCATCTTGTTCAGTGGTAGGTGTCATGTTGATGACCATGGGGGATGCATCAGTAGGTACAGAATCCAGCTCCTGGGGGCCAATGGGGGAAAGTGCTACTTCCATGGCTAACATTGGAAGATGTAGACCATAATTCTTCCCAAGTTGGCTGCACATACAAAAGGAGAGAAGGGCAAATGTTTTAAAATCAAGAACTTGATGTGACCCCACACAATCCTCAACTCCACACCAAACTCACACACTAATTTATCCATTACTTCAGTAACTTGGGCAGATGTAGAGTCTTGCTTCATTTATGTAGAAGGAGCATGAAAAGCAAGTTGCATGTTCTGTGCAGTGAGGAAAAAAAATTAACAGTCTGCATCAACATAACCCAAATTAAACTTCAAGAATAGTGGCAATATGTACAAAACATGCCAACTAAATTGATTTGCATTATTTATTTTACTTCTTTTGGCCATGATGAGGGACAAGGAACTTTAAGACAAAGAATCCATGCCCTCGGCCAAAATAAAATAAAATAAAATCTCACTAACATTATAGCTCCAGCTATTTCATTTCTTGCTTATATACTTTGAACTACATTTTAATCGTATGACAGCTATAAATGTGGAAGGGAAGCATTTAAAGAAAACAGAGATTTCATTAAAACATGAGCATACTTTGGATACCAATACTAAAAGGTAGCTTGGATACTAACAACTGAGGAATTCAGCATCAATTCATTAAAACATGAGCATACTTTGGATACAAATACTAAAAGCTAGCTTGGATACTAAAAACTGAGGAATTCAGCATCACTCTGAAGTACAGTAGTGCCTCACATTACGATGTTAATTCGTTCCAGCGAAATCGCTGTAGAACTAAAACATCGTAAAGCGAAATAAAAAAGCCCATAGAAACGCATTAAAACCCGATTAATGCATTCCTATGGGCTTGAAACTCACTGTACAGCGAAGATCCTCCATAGCATGGCCATTTTTGTGGCCCGTGCAGCGAGGAATCCGTCCCAGAAAACAGCGGCCGGCCATTTTTTTACCTGGCAGCCATTTTGAAACTGCCGATCAGCTGTAGGAAAATCGTCGTTTTGCGAGAATCGGTTCCCGAAGCAGTGAACCGATCATCGCAAAGCGAAATTCCCCCATAGGAAACATTGTTTTGCGATCACAAAAACTTTGTCATTATGCGATTTCGTCGTAAAACGGAGGACTCGTCTTGCGAGGCACCACAGTATTGTTTATTGTAGGTTATTGTGCCAATAAAAATCGTACAGCTGTTCTTTGTTATGCAACACAGAAAGAGGGTTGCTGAATCAGATCAAAGGCAGGTATAGTCTATAATTGATTGGGTTCTGCTCCACCCCAGTAGTCACCAGATGCACTTCCTCTGCAGTCAGGAGTCCAAGTTCAGTGACACCCCCATTTGAAAAGATTCAAAATAAATTATGAAAAAGATATTAGATTAGACAATTCTAGTCCAAATGACAAACCTCTGACATGGTGTAAAAAGACTATCTGTATTCAATAGCAGAAATGTCTTCAACTTAACAAATGAACCTCATTACCTACTGCCATTATATGGTAAATGATTAAATAAATAAGAACTAGGAGGCCAGAAGGAAATGTGATTTAGCAACAACATTTGTTCCAGAACATGGTGGTGCTCCAGTGTTATTGTCAGGAACCACACAGAGAAGAAACAGATCATACAAGTGAACCCCACCCCTGGTCTCCTCACCTGTATCCAGCAGAAAAGTCTGAAGAAATATTTTAAGTATGTTCAGCAAGCTATCCTCTGAATTCTCCCCATGACCAGCAATTCTAAGCAATCAGGCTAATTGATTGGGTCTATATTTGATGCTGAATAGAAGTAGAGGAAAATCTTCTATACTGACCAATATTGCTATTTGGTCCTTTGAAAAAATCAGGTAAATTTATGTTTCAGTGTTGGAGAGGGGAACATCCAGCCATCAAAGAACCAAGTAAGCGATAGGCAAAGGGTGACAAAATGCAACAGTGTTCTCAGAAGGATAGTGACTTTGCTCCATGCCATGGCTTAGCTTATCATTTCTTTTAAAAACTAAGTGAGTGTGCTTCCATGATGGAGTGCTAAAGCAAGAGAATATCTGGCTTTTAAAGTAATAACAAAGAAATGATAGTCATAACAATAATCCTGGAAAAGTTTTTTTAAATTTGCAAAACCATATTGCTTATTGCCATGGGACAACTTTAGAGTCTTTGGTCTGAATCTAACTGGTTTTCCCAGAAAGAATGGGTCCCCTGACTCAGTACGATTTTCCTAAGTGTTGACTCAACAATTTATTTAATGAGTTTATTCTACTGAACTTAAGTCAGGCATGGTATCTGGGCAGCTATATTTCTGTAGAAGCTGCCTTGCGGAGAAAGAAATTCAGTTTTTAATAATTTAAAATAGATTGACATGTGCTAGAGAAATACAGTTTCACTGCAAATGAAAATCAACCTCAAAGATGACATACAGTATACGCTTATATGCAACAAGCTGGTAACAACTTCTTTGTGAAACTCTTGGAAAACATAGCATGTTTATAATATAGTACTGCTGGGAATAAAGCTCATTCAAGTCTGTGGGACTTACTACCTAACCCCTTTGAATGATTAAATTCTATAATGGGACTAGCATAATATGAATGTTGTGTGGAAATAAATGACACATTCATCTGTGACAGATATGCAGGTTGTATATTACTGATGAAAGGAGCTGGTGGCAAAAATCCCTACGAAGCGCTTATTCAGCATATCTACCCCAATTGGTCATCACTAGCAGAGGTCGGTTGTAGAAGATAGAGAGGATCACCACATTTCATGTCAGAGTGCCATGTTTTTAGCTGCATCTATGAAAACCACTGCTCCTCAAAATCTTTGAAAGAAAAATCCTTAGAAATCTACTTCTTCGATAGATCTTTATTTCTGAAGATTATCTTCCTTTTTAGCATGTTTCTGTGCCAATTAAAAGTTTCCAAGTGGGTGCTTCTGACCTGGAAATGAATCAGCACTAATCCCTGTCCATTTGAACAATCCAGAACAACATAAACAATGCCTTTAGAAAGAATTAAATTAAAAAATGGAAAGTCACGCCACAAAGCATGGTGACTTGCTATTTTAACTGAAACCATTGGCACTGAACTGGGTATTTTTGCAGGCTCAAATGGCACGTCTGGATAAGCCTTAGATTTTGTGGTTCCCAGTTGCTCCAAACCACTTTATCATCTGAGAAAATGTTCTATATCTGAGAATAAAGAAATAACATTAGTCTTAATTATTACTTGAATTATGTGATAAGGAACTATATAAGGAAGTCTATTTTGATGATGAAGTCTATTTATTATTTTGAATGAGGAAGTCTATTTTATTATTTTTGATGAGGAAGTAAATTTTATTATTTCCAATAGATTCTTAATGTCATTGCTTTCTAATAGCTGTATTTTTTTAATTAAGCCATAAAATTCCCTCGTGCTAATATAAACACAGCCTACTGGCAAACTAATCTCTCCTTCCCAATCAGTATTTAGCAAAAATTCAGGGATTTTGGTACACAGCATTTACTCAGTGCTTGTTTGGTCTTCTTATACACAATAAAATGGACTCTACCAATCTGTTCCAACACAAAGGGAACACAAAGAACAAAAGTACAACGTTTAAAGTTTGTTTCTAGATAAACGTGTGTTTTTTTTTAAAAAAGAGAGAAATCACGCCTTTAAGGTTCAGTGCAGATAGTTGCAGATTTCGTTTTAAAGTAGGTAAGGATTCTTCTGAGCCTCATTAGCCTAAGATAATTAGTGACCTGATTTCATTTCATCACATTCCAGAGCCTGCACACATACTATTGATAGATTCTGCCACTGTTACACTAGCAGCAATTACAACAAAGTCAATCCCGTTCACAGCCACGGCGCATTACTGTCAAGTTCACTCACCGCAAGCAGGAATGCTGAAACTATGTCATATATCTGTTTCCCCAAATGTAATGAAGACATTACCAAAACAGGTTAGTGTGTGCATGCACACACACACACACACACGTTACAGCTTTCTAGCCTTCCGCTTAAATTGTACATTTGCTTGAAAGAAGAAACTGCTGCACATAGAAATTCTTGAATAATTACACCCAGTCCATTCTATGGTTGCGCCACAGAACTAAAAGCTGCCAAAGCCCAGGTACCTAACCACAAAAAGAAAACGAAGATCTCTCACACACATTCCCGAGAGAACTGGCATCATCAGGCAGCGTCCTCCCCCTGTTGTCATTCTTCATAGTAATCTCAGCAAGTCAGGCTCCACCTCCGTGTCCCTTCTCTTCCTCTGCCCACTGCTGTTCTCCTTGACTGCACCAGGCAACTGTCATATCATCTCTCAGTGCCAACCTATAAAATCATGCTGGCAAGAGGGTGTAAATATGAGTTCAGCTTGTGCGCACCTTTTCAAACAGAGATCTGCCAAGGGCTTGCTGTGAATGCATTTAGTGCTCTGGAAAAAAAATCAGCTGAAGACATAAAACATCTCATGGGTGGTGTTTCAGAGAAAGAGTCAGAGAAGACTAACACATCACGCTGCTGGAGTCCTGAGATGGAGGCAGAGAAAGAAATGTTGGCCATTGCAACAAACAGTTACCATAAGCCCTAATAGACTAAGCAACCACTCAAAGGGATAATTTAGCCATTTCTAGTACTGTATCCTCCTAATACATTATTATCTCCTGCAGCAAAATGGATTAAAGGAGGCATATTATGCTGCTCAATAGGCTTCCTGTCCTAACTCAGAACTCTGTGGTCTGATACTCCAATTGTCTGACAGCAAAACACAAGCTCTGTATGTTCATTCACTTTATTAATTAATGTATTTAATAGGTATATTCTGCCACTTAGAAAATGTATTGCAGCAATTAAACCCAATTGAACCCAATTGAACTCAATGATGTTACAACAATATATATATAAAAATAAAACAACCTGCAATGTTGTAATAAAATTAAATAGGACCAAAAAGCAGTAACATTAGAACTGCCTTTGACTTTATAATCAGAATTCAATAACACCATAGTAAAAACAGTCCGAAGTCAACTCTTTAAAATTAGGGAAACATTACAATATGAAACAAATGTGTTAGGGAG